CAGCCTCACACTGATTGTTCACCAAAAACCTGAACATCTTCAAACAATGGGTGGCACTTCCTGTCAATGTTCTGCTGGAAGGTTAGGAAAGAAAGAAAGAACTGCTGTTATGACAGACTGTGATAGGTCTCTTTGGTTCAAAATGGCTGGTCAAATATGACATCTGGATGATCAGACAAAAGAGATCAGAAGAGAATTTGTGTATGAGAATGAGGTCTAACAAATAGTATTTTGTCAGCCAAACCCCTTTGACATACAATATATTTTTGAAGTATCATCTAAGTTATTAAGTTGGTTTATGTGTGTGTGTGTGTGTGTGTGTATGACTGATTTTACATTTTCATGACTTAATTATTAACTTTACATCAACTCACAAACTCTCTGCATTTCCCTCACAAACCTCCAGGGGTTGGCAAACCACTGCTTGGGAAACCCTGCATTAGGTTATTCCAACAAAATTAACTAGCTCCTAGATAGAAAAAAAAATTGAAATAGCTCCTTGAGGTAAAAAAAAAAAAAAAAAAAAACTGCACATACTGATAATCTGCATTAAAAATAAATAAATACATGTTAAAAAAATAACAACAATAATAACCAGATGAAAAAGTTTTGTAACTGCTTACATACTCATTGCTCATTTGAATATTGAATATTCACCCAGAATATTGTACACAATGTTTGCCATGACAAGAATCTACAAGTTCACAAAAATCAGAATTACGCTAAAATATCATTCTTCCTGTGTTTTTGGTTAAATTCAGTGATCATAATAGTGTTGTATTGTGTCTGTGTGCGACTATGTGTATTGCTGCAGATACGAAGGAATGCCATTGGGTTTTCTCTCCCCTCTGGCAGTGTCGCGCATTCAATTCTTCTGCCATTACGTTGTCATCAAGCCATTTTGCTGCTCTGGCCTCATAAGTGCAACACAAGAAAAGAGCTAGTTGATTCAATTAAAGCCATACCAATTCAACTCCACTGAGAGCCAGCCAAGAAGGTTCTTTCAGAGAGAAAAGAGAGGGAGAAAACAATAAAGGTAGAGGAAAGCCTTTTATTCCATCTGTCTCAGATTCGAGTGTGCATATTAATGTCACCTAGGTAATCTCAATGTGTGTCCCATTGTGCATTCAACAGTAGTGTTTTTTGCCAGGATGGTTTAGCAAATGAACACGCCATGAAGCAAAAACCGCGTTTATGCATGTGATAGTTGCGGCCTGTCTGTGCATGTGTTTGTCGCAGAAGCCAGCAGTGGCCGTTTGTCACCGTGAATAGGCTCAGGGTGGTTCACATCATTGGGGCATTGAAGGTGTCTCCTCCCCTGTTGTAAAACAAGGGTTTGTGTCACATGGGGACACAGGAGGCATTGTGCTCGTCGTAGGGGTTACCGTACCACCCAGAGTGTTCCCTAAATCGAATCCCCCCACCCCAACACCTCCCCACGACCCTGTCCGGCCCACGGCCACAACCCTGTCCTGACTAACCACGCAGGAGAGCAGGATGGAGCATGAAGGTATAAGTCAGAGATGGACACTGGGGCTCCGATGCGTATGTATACAGAAAGAAAGAGCGTGGGATGAGATTTAGGCCTGGAAGAGGCGAGGGGGCGTGTCTGTGAGTTTCCCCTAACAAGATAGGTCAATGGGATGATTGATGGCTGCAGAAGTGGGAACAAAACAAGGGGAGGTGATAAAAATCAGAAAAGAGGGGAATGAATGGAGAGGGAACGAGGGTCTTGTATCCGAGTTGGGGACGTCTATGCGAGTGTGAGAGTGTGTGGGAATATTTACTGCCCTGCAGAAGTGGGCGGCTCTGACTTGTTGCTAATTAGCGGGGAGGCATCTGAGCTCTGGTGTGTGTGTGGAAATGGTGAGTATGCTTGGGTTCAAGGAATACGACAGGATACTAGGGCGAAAGAATGGCAACGCTGACCACCTAAGATGACCCCCCTTACACATATACATACCTAAAGTTACAAACCCCTCACTACTTTCCCCCGCCTCCTACAAGTTGATGTAAATGAGCTGTGCTTTTAAAATAAAGGCAAATAATTTATGGGCAACTGTCAGTTTCCTGAGTTAGAAACACAGAGAGAGAGAGAGAGGCAAACAGCAGGGCTCTTAAACTGAAGAGTTCAGGCTTGTGTTTTTAAGAGGGGTCCCTTGTCATCTGAAGTACTTTGAAGAGGATCTGCAAACTATCACAAGCAGGGACACAGGCAAACAACACATTATGACATACATTCATAGGTACAGTATGAACAACACACAAGCTGTTTGTCTGTCAGAAAGTACTAGCTTTTGCCTCGTCTTTTGCCTTTTGTCTTGCAAACTACATTGTTTTGATCCAAATGTTTTAGAAAGTAAATTGCAAAGTCTTTGTGTCAAATTATTTCAAAATATTATGTCAAAATTAAAGATGTTCTCTTTCCAGCATTTCATGTTAATAAAAAAAGACAATTACATAACTTTAAGTTAGACTTCACTAATCACCTAGGACTAAACTTCCTTTCTTCCATTCTTATTTTCAAGTTTCCATAATTTCTTCTGAACTTCCTTCCAAGTTTCAAAATGTTCTTCTTCCAGTCCCCTTCAAAATGACATTAAAAATGGCACTGTTTTATTCAAGTTGGACATCAGTAATCTGATTTTCTTCCTCTCTAAACTATCATAAACAAAAATTATACCATTAATGGTGGGCTGGTTTAACTTCAGGTCTGCAACTGGCAAGTTGCTGATTCAAGTCTTTCAAAAGAACAAGCCATGAATTATCATTACTGTCTGTAAGACACTTTATCCCAGGTTACTCCATGGGTACTGTGCCTGTATAATATTGTAAGAGTACAGTTCCTTTGTATAAAGGTATCTGATAATATGACAAACCTTTTCATATGCATGACACATACCCTGGTACAACTATAATTATACTCCTCTGTTTTGCAGCAACTTTTTGTTCCTTTATTCTCCTCTCACCAACCCATCTGCTCTTCTTGGCACATTCAGTTACCTTTCACCTTGAGAAAGAGAGAGTGAGAAAAGAATCAAGCTCTAGTGAATTGCACCAATTTACAACAAACAAACCCCCCATTGCTAAAGGTTGCACATTACTCTATTGCAGAAAATAACAGGAGCACAAGATGGAGAGATGATAGTTATGATGACAAATATTATTATGGGGTTGGGGAAAACTGATGAAACCAAATCACTGCATTATTCTATATAGAATTTTTTTTTTTACGCCAACACATCACCAGCTTTTTCCCATACAACAGATCTGAACCTGTTGCTTTCGCACATGCAAACACACTGAACAGTTTTTAACAGCATGAGGTACATAGATACAAGCGCTAATTGGTTTTTCTACATGAGAGTCCATTTTCTTCAATGGGGTGTTCAAAGCCAACCATAATCCAACAAGAGATCCACACCATCCTGACAAATGCCTCTCGTTAGAGACTCCCCACAACACACATGGACACATAAGGTCAGCACGCATAACAGTTTTCTACTATGTATTGGAATGGGGTTACATAGCCCACACCTCTGGCCCACACACTGTCATCAGTGAGTTAACACCCAACTCTCAGTGGTCACGCTTGCCAGGTTGAGTGTTTAACTGACAGGTGGGAATGAGGGAATTGTATATATGTGTGTGTATTTAGCAAGCAATCTGTAATGAGGGGGCAGTGTGTGTTTAGGCCTGTAATGAGGTGTGAGAGAGAAGCGAAGACCTTAATAGGCAGCAATTACTGAGTGTGTTGTCGCTAAGTGAGTCTATTTGTGTTTCGTTATATGTGTATGTTGTGTGTGTGTGTGTGTGTGTGTGTGTGTGTGTCTGTGTTGCAAAGGTTACTTTGACACCTACACTCTAGCAATTCCAGCAGAGAACATTTGATTGACAGCATTTCAAAGACACGGACCCAATTTCAAAACAAACCTTTATGTATGTGTGAGAAAAAATTGCATCTTTAATTTACCCCCTGTATATTTATTTTTTTATTAGTTTCCTAATGATTACTAATTTGTTAAAATTTTTTATATATTTATATGCATAAGCTGTCATTCGATTCAAATATTTAATGTAATTAATTACACAATGTCGATTAATTAATCACAAATAAAAAAAACCCCGCAAATTTGGCTCAGAAATTACCCAAAAAATATAATGTAAAGGCATTATTGTGTTAAATGAGAAAAGCATCAAACAGACTTCACAAAAAGTAGCTTTAAAAAAAATTCTTCATTATTTTTTATTTCTTTAAATTTTTTAAATATAGATTTTTATTTTCATATTTTTTTATTAATAAGAAAATATATATTTTTTTTATTAAATGATACTCTAAATAAGAAACTAAATCTGTCAGCAGGTGGCAGTAAATGTCTTAAAGGAACACTCCACTATTTTAGAAAATAGGCTCATTTTCCAACTCCCCTAGAGTTAAACAGTTAGCTAGGTAACTGCCAATAAGCCTATTTTCAGGCGCTGATGCGTAACATCATTGCGCCTGCTGCACCCATGGTACGGCAGCAAAGCTCCTTGATTATTATGCCGGAATCAGAGTATAGTTACTAGCCATATCGGCCTAGAAAATCGCAACTTTTCATTTTCCGTCGGTCTTAGTACACAATGTAACTACAGAAGAGTCAAGTTTTAAATAGGAAAAATATACTCACACGGGCATCTCTTGAATTTTAGGGATATATGACTATAGGCTACTATAGGCCTAGGCTACATCACGCAGTGAACCGTTGCAACTTGGCTTGCTTCTTGTTTGTCACCAATCAACTTTATGAAATGTCTTGGGCGGGTGCGTTAATATTTTAATCGCATTCATTTTTCTTAACGAATTAATCAGATTAAGGCGTTAAATCGACAGCCCTAATAATATATTAATAATATAATACAATTAAAAATAATCTCATTTAAGTGAATTAAGTCATTTTGAAGCAGCAAGTAGTTATTTCATTTGCTGATCGAAATGCATATAAGTTGGAGCTGTGGAACAGTTGGTAATGCACATATAAATTAGGAACATAAATATCTTTTGTCCCATTTGCTCTCTCTCCACTTTTCTGCCTAGTCTACACTATCCTTACAATTAAAGGCAAAAAGCCCATAAACAAACAAAAACAACAACGACAACAGAAACACAAAAGAAAAGTTATATGCTATGTCATCTCTCTCCGATGCACTTTGACTTTTGGATGACCTGGTGATGACCTCCAGGGGACACTCTAGTTTTGGGATATCCCCAGGATGACCTCATCAATTAAGATGAGGATGAGTTACACAGCAGTCAGCCACCCCATCGCCATCTCTCTCCCTCTCCTTCGCACTCTGTACATCCTTTGTCTCCATTAGTTTCCATCTCTCTGTGCATTCCTTCATTAGACAACGTCTCTCGATCTCTCTCCGTTGTTCCTTCTTTGACGTTGTCTCACCCCTTCACCTCAGCTGAACTTCATTTGCCCTCTGCTACAGTAGTTACTCCATTGCACTCCTCCTGTAATATTTTCAAATACAAAAATAATAATTTTTCTCCATGCCAGAGTGATGCATTTATTTGTGAAGATACAATGGGGCTAAAAAAATTAATTAAAATCAAATTTTAGTTTTAAAATGTAATAAAACATTGATGTAAAATGTATAAGAAATATTTTCTAAAAGTTTATTTTTTATATACAATTCTGTACCATTTCTAGGTCACTAATCAAATAAATACATTTGTGATAGGACCACGTTAACTTTGTACAAAAGGTCATAATGTTCCTGTTTTCTATTGAAGAACAAGACGCTCTTTGGATCATTCATGCTGGAAGAATATGGTCATCCGGATTTTGAGTTGATGCAGCTTGAGTGATGTTATTAATAAAGCAAAAGATGAACAAACCAAATACTAAAACATTTTTTTTTTTTTAAGTCAAACATTAGACTTACATGGTTATGAATATAATATAATATAATATAATATAATATAATATAATATAAATGGAAAAAAAACAGAAGCATTTTTTTACTTTAAACCTCTTTACATATAATATAAAAATATAAAATATAATAACAATAAATCTGGAAAAATTAGAAGCGTTTTCATAAGTGAACTTTGAACATCTTTGTATTTGTGGGTGCTGAATATTTAGAAACCGTAAAAAGACATCTCAGCATTTTCGAGCATGTGTATGCAAGAAAGAGAGGAAAAAGAAGAGAGAAAAGTGAAAGAAAGAGCATAGCTCTGATCTCTGATGAATATGTAAATCTTGATAGCGGCCCACTCTCCAGGGGACCCCCTTCACCCCTGCTTTCCCACCCCACACAAGAGATGAGGAACCGGGCCGCACTGAAGCTTAGCGGCCCGAGATCTTCACTTCCCAGATGATAATCCCACTGTCCAAAGGCACGGATAACGAGAAGAGGACCATAATCCTATTGTCCCTCTGTGTCACATATGTCACTTTACACACTGTCTTTCCATCACAAGACTTCATCCAGAGCTGCAACAGATTGGCCCCCTCCAAAAAAGTGCTTGTCTTTCTTACTGTCCCTCCCTCTTCCTCTATACATTTTACATACACAATAACATCACCCGCACAAACCAAGACCTTTCAAAAACAACACAACTAAACATCATCTTCACAATCTACCCAGGTTTAGTTTGTATCAATGTCGCATCTCCATATTGCTGTGTGGGTGGCATGCGGTGGGGTGTGTGTGAGAATATTTACTTGTGTGAGGGACGTCTCAGGTTAAGATGCACCCCTCGTCTCGCCCGCCTCCCTCAGCCCCTCGGCGCTTTGTGTCAGAGAGGACCTGTTGGTATCCGCCTTTGTCATTGAGTGTGCATGTCCATATGGTTGATCCACCTCCAATAGGTTCATGTAGGCAGAAAACAGCCATTCATACGCCTATTCAGTCAAGCTGCTAGAGACACAGATTACTATGTCATAACACAGAGGGAGGGAGAGAGGGAGGGGTTCGAGTGATAGCGAGAGAGAAAGAGAGATTACTTCATAAACTTACTCTGATCTCTATGTGTGTGGCGCTGCTCTGGCATTTTAAAAGACTGAGCCATTGTCGTTCTTTCAGGCCTCGATGCATCGCTTAAATTTGTTGCATCAAAAAGACATGGTGTGTTTGAACGCAAGTCTGGGTTTTGCTGTTGTGAATCAAACACCGTAAGGCCTGGTGGATTTGCACAGTCTGTGCTGCTAGTGAATGCATTAGCATCTTGATTAATATCTATTCTCTTATGTGTCAGATTTTGCAATACTTATGCATTCCTCATCGAGAGTCAGTGTTTAAGGCAAATTTGAGGAACAAACACTGGTAAAAATTTGTGACATTTTAATTCATTCATGAAACCTGGCATTATAATGCAGCCAGTTTGTCACGTTCGGGTACTTTGTTATTGGAAGGAATAGGAATCATGGAGGACAACAGGTTCATTTTTGCCTGTTTCTTGGGGAAAATCTTAAGGCAAAATGTACAGAAGATATTTAGTCAATATTCAATGGATTTTTAATAAAATGTAGCAGCAACCACATAAATATTACCCACAATATTATATAAATTCACTGTGCTAGACAGTCAACTTTCACGGTCAAATATTTGTCATATAAATGCCATTTTCGATGTGTACAATCCATACAATGTGCATGAAATGGTTATTTATATACATGACTATAATGGCACTATAGATTTCTTGGGGAAAATGAATAAACTTAGTTTGTTTCTTCATCTGAAAAGATTTGGACAAGTTCACCAATAGATGCTCTGCAGTGTATGGGTGCTGTCACAATAAGAGTTCAAACATCTGATGAAAACATCACAATAATCCGCAATTTATCCACATGACTTTAGTCCATCAATAAATGTCTTTGTGAAGCAAAAAGTTGTGTTTTTAATAAACAAATTCCTCAAGATGTTTTTAAACAAAGAAACAAACTCATCCGTTTCTTAGATGGCCTGAGGGTCAGCAAATTTACAGGTAAATGTTTATTTTTGGATGAACTATTCATTTAACAGTCACTACTTTAATGGTTTTCACTTCTTCCATGTTTAAAGTTGCACAACTAGGAAACTCTGGTGTAAAAATGATCTCAGAGTTTCCAAATTGCAAATACAACTTGAGAAACCGTTCACATATAATTTCCAACTAGAAACTTGTATTTATGATAATCCTGATAGCAAGTGAAGGCACCATTAGTCATGGTGCATTTGAACAATATCAAAACAGCTTTTTGGCAAAGAACTTCGCCATCTTCCTGAAACCTTCCTAAAAGGCTTGTAAAGTGTGTCATTTTTGGTTAAAACACTCCTCCTATCCAAGTTACTATGTAGAGACAACTATAAGTAACAAATTTGTACGTCTTAAAGTGTAAACATTAATAAGGACAGTTCACATAAAATAAAAATTTCTGTAATTTACTTGCCCTCGTGTCATTCCAAAACCAGTTTGACTTGCTTTCTTGGAACACAAAGAAGATATTTTCAAAAATGTCTAAATTGTTTTTTCTTCAAACAGATGAAGTCAATCTTATTTGGACCCCACTGTTCTTCAAAATATATTCTTATACAAAAACCTATTATAACTATGTAAATGTACTGACCTTGGCCTTGTGGTGCTATCAAAACATTGTTCTGCATCCTGATGAGCCAAATACAGCAACACATGGTCAGGGCTATACGTTTTCCAAACAATGGAAGACAGGGAGAGTGTTCAGGAAACCTGTTTGAAAACAATAAATTTTATAATTTCTGTTTGCTACTATTGGAGGCAGATACATTACACACAGTGACAGAAAATAATGACATGCAAAGTTCTTTTTTATTATTATTATATCCTTGAAGTGCCCTCTTTTCTCTTTCCAAATTAGTGTATATATAAAGTTCACTTTCCTGACCTCTGCGCTGTCTGCTTGTCTAACCAGCTTGTTTGTCTCTCTCTCATGGCTCAGTTCTGTCTTCATTATACTCGGCATGTCCATCCTTGATCACCTTTTCTGCCCTCCTAGGACAGAAAACCTCTACTTTTGACATTAACGCCCATCACTGTGTCACTTCCTCATTCTGATGACCTCTCGTTCTCAGGCCCCAATCACTTGTTCGCCAACAGTGTCAACACTGTCATTAAAGGCACATTGTCCTTATTAATTAATGAGTGCTGTTGTTTTTTTTCCTTCTCTCCCTCTACACATACTTATTCGGGCAAATGCGGATTAACATATTCATGAGTCGGCCAGCTTTGCAGCAGCTTGCTCACGAATGGGGCGGCTCTGTTTAGCCCCTGTGTTTTTGTCTTCCTCCATACCTAACCTCGTTTGCTGGGCAGATCCCTGAACCATTAGAGCTCATGATCCCTTTATGCCAGCGAGACTCAGACAGGAGGGTCGGGTTATGAACCCAAACGCTGCTGTTTCACGCACCAGTGAACACACCCCAGATAATAAGGCTCAAATGCTAAGTGTTACAAACTGATTAAAATGTCTGTGTTACAACTTTATCTAGAGACAATAAACAATGCTCCTCCACCAGTAACTATGGCGGCTTCTGATATTGTCTCAGAGCTGCTCAAATGTTCCCAGTCCTGGATATTTTGCTGGGTGATCAGACAAAGAGATGTTTTTTGTCATATGCACGACATAATCATTAAGAAGTATTTAATCCCAGACATCATTAATGGTTGCAATGATTCTTACAAACATGACTTAATTTTTCACTGCAAACATAACCTAAAACCCTTGGTGCTTATTTTGCATTTTAATCATAGTATATAAAGTGACTATATGAGTACATTTGATTTATGGATACACAATATATCAATACCATATCATATTTTGGTTATTATTATTATTATTATTATTATTATTACTACTTTTATTGATTTATCAGTATTTGTTTATATTGTACATTTAATTGAACATGCTTGTTTCCTTTATTTTTACATTACATTTGCTGTCATCTAACTCATACTTGATAACATTGTTAAATGTAATCTTTAACAAATCTTAAAATTAATATCCATTTTTCATATTGTACATTTTAATGTCGTATTGCCTAAATTCATACATTTAGCATTCAAATGTTAAATTTTTTGTGTGTTTATTTTGAATGTACAGTACTAAGACAAAATAGTATAACATTTTATTACTGTACATTCATCAGTTATCAGCCAGAAAATGAACATTTTCAGTCAGTCAGAATTTAAAATCAGTGAATCCCTCATTTGATTTATATATGACAAATCAATAATCTCAAACAAATGTATACACATTTCTGTAACTTGATAAGAAAAGTATTAGCAATGAATAGGTATATAAGTATTAAGGATACACAAAATATTGGTGACCATATCTATATCGCCCAATAAGTTTTCTTTCAGTTTAAAGTTAGGATGATTTTGGAAGATGGCAAGGTCAGGGCTTATTTATTTATTTTCTTCCAATTAAAACATTCTTCAGTTAAAGGTTTTCTTCAGTAAAGAGCCAACAGTTTTTCTAATATACATACCTAATCTCATTTGAATTGCAGATCAAAGCCTTCATTTTAAATGACTCAATGTCAGAATGTAAAAATGACAGTGTATATCTGCAGAAAATGTATAACGAAATGCAAAAATTTGCAAGTAAGGGTATATTTACTGCAAAGTGTTTTGGGGGGAAATTATAAAAACTAGGAAGGTCTGTATTTAAGTAATTTTTTTTCAATTTCCCGAGGAGCAAAAGTAACAACCCCTCTTATTAGCCATTACTAGTTGTGTCCATCACAAAGCCTTGTTAACTGCTAAACATTTACCTTACGCACGCACGCACGCACACACACACACACACACACACACACACATATATATAATGTCAGCTTCGTTAGCTTGGCCTTTAACGAGCTGCTTAATTGAGCTGTCTAGCGGGCCACCTGTCGCCCTGCACCTCATTAGCATACTAATGCTCCTACATTGTGCTGCAGTGACAGCCAGAGAGAGAGAGAGGGTGAGTGAGAGAATTGAGGGATGGGTGGAAAGAAATAGAGATGTTATGATAAACCAATTTTTCACAATTACTACAACAAAAAAAAAGAAGAATATATTTAGGTGCATAAATGTGACAAAATTATGCATATTAATCTAGAACTAAAACCATAATGGCATTCCCACATAAGGGTTTATTATATTTACCTGTTCAAGTTCTTGCTAAATATTAAAACTTAAAGAATACAAATGAAATGACATGAAAAAAAACATTTACAAAGCCTGAAGGTGTTATCGGAAAAATTAGATTCGTAAGTTAGAAGTACTGCTATCTTATCACTGAGCTGGATGTAATTGGGCAATACTAGTGCAATAATCGTGGAATGGATTAATAGGCTTTTTCACCTTTTTACTGGGTGCACACATAGTTGCTCAAGTGCCTGCTTTCATTGAATTCATGTCATGCAGCTGCAGCACCAAAGATCTACCTGCCAGGGAGAGAGAGAGAAGTGCAGTGTTTTTGTGAATGGTCAAATGGCTTGACAGGTATTGTTGTGTTTGATTAGAGCATTCAGTACAGCCTTGGGCTAAATTTGCCTCTAAACACACTGTAAACTAAAGAGGCCTTTAGACTGGCACAGGACACACACGAACATGTGATTTACATACTTGTTCTGTCACACACAAAATAGACTTTTGAAGACAAGCTCTACACTTACAGACATTTTTCAGCCCCGACCCTCAGAGGCCAAGTCCCCACCAGATGGAGAGCCGTCCACCTCAACCATTGATGACCATGAACTTTGACCTGTAACAGGCTGACCACTCACACTGATTGTCTGACAGACACCCACACAAACTACACAATCACACGATTGTCGTGATAGGCATTCGAAATGCCATAATATCATACTACTCTTACTATTTCTGCAGTATCCAGTATGTATACTGTGCATAGTATGCAAACTTTCTGTATGCATGGAATACCCTGATGACCTTCTATATTTGCCAGAATCTGCTAAATATTACTTAAGTAGACTGAAATCAGTAAAGAAGCTGAGTTTTGAATGGCACAGTACCATACAACTCCTGCTATATTGCAGTATGCATGTGTATACTGTGAATAGTATGTGAATTTTCTGTATGCATGGAATTCCCGGATTACTTACTACATTTGCTGAAATCTGAAGTGTGCATCTGAAGGCACTGCATCTCCATGTTTAATCATCAAATGCGTGAGTGAATTTGAGGCGGGGAATAGTAATGCAACACTATTATATGTACATACAGTGGGTACGGAAAGTATTCAGACCCCCTTAAATTTTTCACTCTTTGTTATATTGCAGCCATTTGCTAAAATCATTTAAGTTAATTTTTTTTCCTCATTAATGTACATACAGCACCCCATATTGACAGAAAAACACAGAATTGTTGACATTTTTGAAATTAACTTAAATGATTTTAGCAAATGGCTGCAATAAAACAAAGAGTGAAAAATTTAAGGGGGTCTGAATACTTTCCGTACCCACTGTATATACGTTACTGTAAACTACAAACTATTGCTGTGTATCTAAAAACAATATCGTTAGTAGGACATCTGTTGTACTTAAGTCAAATGACGTCACCTTTATCTCTATGGCGCTTTATACAGTAGGCTACAGATTGTTTCAAACATATTAAATAATAATAATATTATTAATAATATTATTGCAATAATATAACATATAAATAAAAATAACATTTCAATTATGCAAACAGAATTAAATTCCGCTGCAAAGCAGCTCTAAAAAGACACGGATCGAATGTCTGTTTACTACTCTAATAGCAAATAGCAAATTGGCTATTTTACCCCGCCCTCCACTGCCTGGCAGCGGCATAAAGCACTGCAAAAAAACGCGTTTATCAAAACTGCAAGTTGCGTAACGAGTAAGATGCGATCGATTCGAATCAGCCTTTTGTCAAACTCATTCGTCTCCTTTTCCCCATTAGCCTACATATCAGATCGGAAAGGCATTTATTTTCAATAAAAATAAAGGAAATATTTACAAAGTGGAAATACATTGCCTCATTAATAATAGAGTGTTTATTGGGTATGGTTATAGCGGTAGGTGTAGGGAGGGCGTTATTGTCCCGATAGGGCCCCTTACCAAAAAGTAGTATACTTCAAGTTTATTTTATTAAGTATACTTAAGTAAAGTTCAAGTATATTTTTAAGTATACTTTATGTAGTAAGTATACAAATATCCTTGTACTAGTAGTATACTTGTAAGTGTACTATTTCAATACTCCTTGGGACTAAATTGGCCCACTTTCTAGTATATAAAAGTATACTTTAAGTATAACAGTAGTAAACGTTGAGTACACAACTAGTTTACATCAAAATGTTTAGTTTGTACTGCAACTACACTAAAGTGAACTTATAGGTATACTGATAGTTTACTAACTAAATACTTGTAGCATTTTTAGTACACCTTGAAGTATAGTCTCAGTAAACTACTAGTTTAGGTATACTTAAATGTCATTTTAAATATATTTCTGAGAAGTACATAAAGCCCATGTCTGAGAAGTACATAAAAATTAGACTGAAAGTATACTTTCCTATTTTTAGTTTAAAAGAAGTATACTGATAGCACACTTGAATAAACTTATTTTTCGTAAGGGGCGGCATCCATAGATTAGCCTATTATTAAAATGCATTTAATAAACATAATAATTTACACTCAGTATGTTATTGCATACTGTTTTATAATGTACTGAGGTATAAATAT